GCGGTGTATGCATAGAAGTTTTTGTTTGATTTGTGCATTTTATCTTTGAGTGCGATGGCAGACGGTTTTTTGTTGTTGTTGGAGATCTCTGGGGATTAGAAGTATCTAGCCCTCCAACAGTGTATCTATGTATCTTTGGAATACAATCTGAAAAGAGCGAAGGAAAGGGGAAGAGCCATAGAGCCAGGGAGGTCCAAGAATGCAGCTCAAGACTACACGTATCACGCGTCATGCGGCAGCGGCCATCGGCCTTCCGCAGAGCATCTCCTCTTACTCTCCAAAGTCCCCAGAGAGAGAGGGAGAGAGAGGGCGAGGGAGAGCTAGCTTCCAAGGTTCGTCTGGCGCGTCTTACAGCAGCGCTCATCGGTCGGTTGGCAACATGCCCATGCCCCTCCCCGGGCGCCTCACTCTGCCCTGCACCCGGCCCAAGAATTACCCAGAAAAAGAAACAAATTTCACTTTCGATTGCCCTGCCCTGCCCTGCCCCCAACCTCACCCCTAAATGCTGTGGCAATGCCAATAAATCGCATGCAATTATGCAGCAAAAGCATCCTTAGGGAATTTTCACACTTTCACACACACGCACACACGTCTGCCACAAAGCCAAGAATCGAAGCAGAATCTTCAGGCCAGACTCTTCAGCCTGTCGTCACATCCTTCCGTCTCCGTCTCCGTCTCCGTGTGTGTGTGTGTGTGTGTGTGTGTGTGTGTGTGTCTGTCCATTGACCAGAAAGACCACAAGTGCATTATATCCGAATAAATCTCTCAATTGCTTTCTTATGCCACAAACAGCAACAGCAACGGCAGCAGAGGCAGAGGCAGGGGCAGGGGCAGAGGCGGCAGCAGGAGAAAGCCTATTTACAGAAAATATTTTCTTTGAATTTATTTTTCGGGGCAAATGTCGTAGATGCCAGACACGCACATGCTGGCGCACAGGGAGGGGGGCAAAGGGGGGGGATGGGGCATGCAACATCAGTGAAGTGAGCTAATAAATGTATAGAAAATTTCAACAGGTCAAACATTTACTTAAGCAAAACGTTTGAGCGGCGAGAGAGGGAGAGAGAGGGAGAAGCTGCCACATCGGAAGACGTTTCTTTCTCTCTCTCTCTCTCGGAATAAGTGAATAATTGTGTGCCACATGTGTGTCTGTGTGTGTGTGTGTGTGTGTGTGTGGTGTCAAGCCACAAACACCTTTTGCGTAAAATAAAGCAATCAAGCAAATAATGTTGCCACATTACACTATCAACAGCTTCCTGCCTTGACGCACACACACACACATACGGCCACATGTGTGTGGCAGGCAGTCTCTTCTTTAATAGCTTGCCACATGTGGCACACACACACAGCACACACACAGCACACTGGCACGCCCATTCAGGACTAAAGTAAAATTGAAACAACCTTGAGGAATGCCCCTCATGGAGGCGGAGGCAACACAGAGCGGCGGCCGTGTGGCAGGGTGGCAGAGGCAAAAGTGTCTGGCAAAATGTCTCGACTCTTGACTCTCGACTCTTGCCAGACTCCTGCCACTCCTGCCACTTCAGCCGCCTCCTCCTCCTCCACAGGGTCTCCATCTCTGGCTCTGGCTCTGGCTCTGGCTCTGTGGCACGACTCTGTGACCGACTCAGTGTTCAAGTCGACGACAAGGACACAACCATGTTGCAAGAGGAGCAGCAGCAGCAGCAGCAGCAGCAGCAGCAGCAGCAGCAGCAGGAGGGGCAACGGCACGAGGCAGGAAGGAAGCAGCAGGATAAGGAAAGAGCAGCAGCAGCAAGCAGGAAGCAGGAGACGTCTCTCCCCCTCTCCTCCTCTGTGTGCACTTTCGCTTTTGGTCTTGCCCCGAAATCTCCACATGCTGCCGTTGTGCCACATATTTAACAAATTATCTGTAATTTCTCGAGTGCAGCAGCAAGCAGGCAACTTGGGGCACGGCCCCGGCTCCAGAAAGCCGATTTTGTTGCACTTTTTAACCCAAGGAGATGCCCGCAACCCAGGCGCAGCCCAGGGTATCAAGGGCTTCGACTTCCTGCCAGAGGATTCAAGCGGAAGCTGCAGCCCGCTGGAGTCCTACGCCATAATACGCTTAGAAGGGCACTCAGCTAATGTCCGTGAAAGCCTCTGTGGCTCTCAGTGGGTTAAGGGCTGCCAAAGCACTTGTCAAGACGGCTAACGGCCGAGTTGTGGCTGCCACAGCGAAGAGGCAGACAGAGAGAGAGAGAGAGGGAGAGACAGCCCAGGATTTTGGGCTACAAGCAGCCGCAAAATGCTGCTTAACTTCCAGACACACAGACACACAGCAGAGGAGTGGCAGCAGCAGGAGCAGGAGACGCAAACGGAGACGGAGACGAGGAACACAAGGAAGACAGACAGCAGTGGCAACCACAGGCCGTGGCAAGCTGCTGCTGCTGCTGCTGCTGTGGAAGGAAGGAAGTTGTTTGTGGGTCGCATTCAAGGCTGACCGAACCGAGACCCGAGACGACTCTCTCGACCCTTTTGGTTGCCACAGCCGCCCACCCCCCGTCTGTCTGTGTGTGTGCCTGTGTGTGTGTGTGGCAGGGTGGGTGTCTCACAAGATGAAAGCCACTTGGGCTCCCCTCCAGTCGAGTCGAGACCCAGGTTTTGCTTGGGAGTTGCCACAGCCACTGGCATTAGCAGTGGCACACAGCCGTTGCTGCCACAACTCCTACGGAATGACCTTGAGAGCATTACAAATGTACGTCCCTGCTATCCTTGCCACGCCTCCTGCCGCCTGCCGCCTGCTTTTGGCTATGGCTCTGGCGCTGGCTCTGGCTCTGGCTGTGACTTTGGCTTCTGGCCTTCTCTTCTATTTATCTGCAGTTTGCAGTTAAGGATGTTTGAGAGCAGGACCAAAGGACCACAGAGACTGCAGAGGGGAGACTGGAGACTGGAGTCCGAGGCGGGGACACGGGGAGACGGGGCGACTGGAGTCCAGTGGCAGAGAGTTTTGCATCAAGTGTAAAGTGTAAAGTGATGTGTTAAGCTGTTAAGTGCCAAAGTAATTGTTTTCTTTCGTCCAACAACAACAACAGCAACAACAAGGACAATGGGGCATGGGCCACGGGCCACGGGCCATGGGGCAACATGGAATGCTTGACGTTGCTTTCACTTTGCCACTTGACCTTGAGGCTTCCCTCTGTCTTTGTGTGGGAGAGAGACAGAAAAGGAGTGTGGAGTGTTCTCACTCTTTCGGTTGTTGCCCTTGCCCTGCCCCCCTTCGAGGGTGTGCGGGGGCAGCCGTATCGGTCTACTTAGTGGCACACAATGGTGCCACGGCTGGTGGGCGGAGTGAGAGCTTTAACTTGACCCAAAAACTGTCAAGGTAGGTCGTTGAAAGGGTCCATGGATGGAAGAGGGAAGACCAGAGTTTCTACAACATTTCACCCAGACACAGAGCCAGCTCTTTCCCTGCCATGATGAGCCTTTTCTGGTCCTTAGCCTAACCCTCAATTGGTAAAAACTATGAATGAGATCTGCTTTTGTGGCAGCAAGCATCTTTTATTGGTTCTAGCGCATTGCAGATCTTTAGATACTTCCGATACGTGCCAAAGGCATACGAACTTCTTATAGATTGGTCTCATTAATCGCTAGTCCCTGTCTCACATTCATTCGGAACTTCAAACTGGAACTGCGGCACTTCGGAATGTCCTTTGCTTTAGGGTTTTCAGCCATGTTTTATCGAAATTTCCAAGGAATTAACTTCATTTTTCTCCCATCTGTTGGAGTTTTCTTTGGGGTAAACTGTATAATCTCCCCACTGCTTCTTTTGATGCCATATTTTGGCAGGGATTCCCTTGAACTTTCCTTCAATCTTTAAGATTGATTCTAGAAGATTGTGTGCCTGTCCCGTAGCTCCAGCACTTCCAGCCCAGGAACCTCTTTCCACCCAGCAATCAGCCATATATCATCGAACCTTTCAATCATTTAAGATCTGTCAGGCTCCTGCCTTCCCCCCTCCCTTGGTAAAGAAAAGACAAACATTTTCACGTTTTACATTTAGTTTTGCATTTGTGGTTTTATTTCTTTGTTTTTATTTGTATTTATTGTTGATTTATAATTTACGGCTTTACCTAAAACTCTGAAGAGAATGCCTTATGCAGCTGCATCTCTGCTTTCCATTGGATAGACGTTAATAATAATAATTATGGTAATAAAAAAAAAATTTTTTATTTAATATTAGTTGCACTCACAATAGATACAGTCGTGTGTGTGTGTGTGTGCGTGTGTGTGTGCGAGTGTGCGTGTGTGTGGGCGTGTAGTAGGGGGCGTGTGCATGTGCTTTTGTGGGGGTGAGCATTCAATAGATGTCAATGCGCCGCCCTTAGATACTTTTGTATCTGTCAAGTGTGTATCTATGATCTAGAGATGAAAAAAAGCCTAAAGCTAATTGGGAAATTTGTACATTATTTACATCGGGGGGAATTCCATTAATTGATGTACGATATATATCGTATATATATATCATATCATATCCGTATAATTGTAGATAGTTTATGTAGATGTATCTTTTATATGTGTATATGTATCTAGACATTTATATGTGTATATATATTATATTGTAGATTATTCAATGGTGTGTGTGTCTGTTAGTGTGCGTGTGAATGAGTTTTTAAACTAATTTTAATCTACATTTAAGAAATGCACAAGTCTCTCTCTTTCGTATCCTTAGCTCTATTTAATTCATAATTATTTCTTCACTCTCGTACGATGCGTGGCAACAAAAAGGCAATCCAATCCAATCCAATCCAATCATATCAATCAATCGAATCAATCAAAAAAATAAATACGTAAACAAACCAAAAAAAAAAACACGAGAGATCCTATCCTTAAAGGAAAGTACCGAAGTATGTATGTGTGTGTGTGTGTGTGTGTGTGCATGGTGGGGATGGTGATGGGGGGGATCCTGTTTTGGTGTCCTTTAAGATTACATTTTGTTTAATACTTTTTTTTTGTATACCTCTTTAAGAATCCTCTATATATCCTATATCCTATACGCATATATATCTGTATATCCTCTAGATCCTAGCCGACAAAAAAAAAACCATGATTTTCAATTAAAATCTAAGAAAAAAAAACGTTGGGGGGTTTTCTTCAAGTAGCAGTCCAAAAACATTCCATTGCCTCTCCTCTCGCCCGCGCGCGGTCCCCAGGCCGCCCTCAATCCTCGTGCGGCAGCTCTGTGGCATGCTGCTGCTGCTCGAGCTTGATCTTCATCAGGGGGGACTCGCGGACGGGGGCATAGGCCGCGGCTGCCGCTGCTGCTGCCGCCGCCGCCGCCGCCGCATCGGAATTGACAAAGAGCTCGCTCATGTCCTGCGGCCCCCCTGGCCCCGGAAAGAAGTCCTCGAAGCGTGGACTCTTGTTCTGGGCCTGCACCGACTTCTGGAGCAGGCCGTTCGCAATGGCCTCGAAGTCAATGCCCGCCGGTAGGCTCTCCAGGAAGCGCTTGTTGTACGCGTAATTCGGATGCTGTTCCTGCTGCTTCGAGTGCTGCTGCTGCTGCTGCTGCTGCTGCTGTTGGTGCTGCTGCTGCTTCGCATAGTGCGAGGAGTACGGGGAGGCGGCGCCAGGACGATTCGACTGTGCCTTGGCGGAGGAGTTGCTGCCACCGCTGCCGCCGCGCGACTGGTTGCCGTACTGACGCGCCTGCATGGCCTCCTTGAGCTCCCGATCCCGCTCCCGCTCGCGCGTCAGCTCCCGCGCATAGCTGGCGGCACTCGAGGGAGCCGCCGCTCCGCCGCCACCGCCCCCGTTGCCGCCGGCACCGCGCGACGGCAGGACGTTCAGGCCCGGCAGCCCCATCAGCCCCAGGGCCGTCAGATCGGGCAGATTCTCGGATCCCCGGCCGCCGCCACCGCCGCCGCCGCCGCCGCCGCTCTGCTGATGCTTGGCTGCCGCTGCTGCCACGGCCGCTGCCGCCGAGACCTGGTCCTCGATCTCCGAGCGCTGCAAGTAGGCCGGCGACTTGTACATGTGCGGCGCCTGCTGCTGGTGCTGCTGGTGCTGGGCCGCCTGCTGCTGCTGCGACAGGATCTGGCGGCGCAGCGACTCTGTCATGGTGCTCAGCGGACTGCTGGCATCGGGCGGGGCCAAGGCGGCGTTCTGTGCGGCCATCTTGGCGGCTGCGGCACTGTGATACCCATTGGAAGTGGTGCCGCCGCCGATGTAGGTCTAAAGAGAGGAAGAGAAAGAGCCGCCGGCAGGAAGGAAACAGTTAGACGGGGAAATGATCCATCGAATCCATCGATTGAAGGAGTGATTGAGTGAAAGGTGATGGGACTCCACTTACGCCATGCGCCTGTCCATTCGCGTACTGATGTGCCCCCATGTCCTCCTTGATCTCGCGATAGTCCCTGAAGACGACCGCCTTGATGACACTGCGGATGAGCTCCTCGGGCCACATGCCCAGGAGGATGCGCTGCGGCCGGCCCCTGGCCTTGGGCCGCGGATCAGTGCCGCCGTCGAGGGAGGGCCCCAGCATGTTGTGCACCCGATTCGCGTACAGCACGAACGTCGGGTACGGGATGTCGAACTTGCGGGCCGCCTGCGACAGCGACAGCCCCTCCTTGAGGACACTGAAGATGGCCTCGGCCATGGCCTCGGGGCGCCACGACTTCAGGGGTCCGCGTTCGCGGAAGCGCAGCTGCTGCACGAGATTCTGCTGGTTGGTGTTCCAGCATTTCTGCCACATGGACTGCAGCTGGTACTGGTAGCTGTCTGCTGGAAGGACAGAGAGGGCGAGAGGCACGAATGCAAACTAGCTGCTAACGGAAGGTGGGTGGGGGGGGGCGGGGGACAAAGGTGCAACACTTACCCGCCACAGAAGCGCCTGTTGCGGCGGCAGCAGCGCCCATCCAGCCGCCATGGCCGCCGCTTTCGATCATTTTTGCCTGGAAAATGGAAAGGGAAAATGGGAAAACAAGGAAGTTAGTCGCGTTTCCTTTTCGGTTTGGCTTTTCGCGACATTTTCCCCGAGCCGTAAAAGTTTATGTTTGCCATAAATGCTGCTGCTGCTGCTGTCCCACCAAAAGCACATTTTTCGTATGCAAAAAGCAAATTAGTATACAAAGTGGGGCCCCCCAGCCCCCCTCAGCCCCCCAGCCCCCCTTTGAACCTCCCGATCCATTGTCTTGGCGGCTTTTTATGGCCCCAAAAGGCTGTGGGGGGGAGAGAGAGAGGGACCACCATTTATTTATTGCTATTATGAGGAACTCAGCGGTAGGGGGGGATGGGGGGGCAACTAGGAAGGGAGACAGTACTCTGCCTTGTAATTGAGACCGACTTTAACCCTTAAGCTGTCTTAATCAGCTGCACCGTTTAAGGGTTAAGCCCAAAGGCGGGGCGGGGCCTACTCCTGGCAGAAAAGGAGGTTTCCCTCTTCTCCACTGTACACTCGCTTGGAGGAACGTCAGAGAAATGAGGTAGGTTCTTGATCTCCATCGGAGACTGCAATCGAAGCGATTTGTAGATCTTTTTTCCTGTTTAGAACTGCTGAAAACCCTTCAGAGATCCTGTTTTTGGTTGGAAGAAAGTCAAAAATTCATAGATCGGCGCTCTATATCGTACATATGGGACTTATGCCATAGCCTAATCGTTCTTAAAACAAGTTTAGAGGCCCGATTAGCTAATATACACCCTAAAATGTACGTGTATTTAGCAATTTGTTATCGAAATATTAATCGAAATTAATCGAAAAGAAAAGAAATACCTTTTTTGTGAGAAATACTTATTTTTTTCCCTACACCAAATTCTCTTTAAGGCCAAAATATCGAGAATTAATCGAAAGTTAATCGATATTTGATGGCCTTGGCCAAACGATCATTCTTTGAGTGTATCCAAAGCCAGGCCTCTGTTCCCCCCCTCTCTCCCCTGAGCATAGAAAAGAAAAAAAGTTAAAATTGATGCACGTTTCGTGCAACGTGCAACGTGCAGCGGCAGCGGCCATGGCTATGGCGGAGGCTATAAAGCGCCCGCCTGCCTGACCAGCAGCTCCGTGGCTCTGCGGAGCCTCAAAGTCCAGTTCCAGGCCACGCCCCCCCAACGCGCTGGGAGGAGGCACGTAGCCATGCATTTTATATACACGTTGGGGCGTAATACAAATTATGTGCAACGAGGAGTGGCATGAGGCACAAACAGGAAAGGCAACGGCAACGGCAGCGGCAGCGTCGGAATAAAAAAGAGAAACGAATATAATGCAAGTCTTAAATATTTGAAAAGTAGGCGCCGCCGCTACAGAAACGGCAGAAGGGCACACTGTACCAGGGTACAGTGAAGCCATGTACATGTACATGCCGAGTGGCATGCAGCAGGAAAAAGGTCATAAAACGTATGAATAATTGAAATTGAAAAGTCGGAAGCATTTTTACATTTTTTTACAGGCACCAAAACACACAAAAACAACAACAACGTGGCACGAGTGGCACGAGTAACTGTAACAAATGTAACGAAGGAATATGGCGTTAAAAATGCTATTTTATGTAAAACACTTTGTTAATGATGAAGGCCAGGCAAGCCCCCCCCCAGGCCCACCTGCAACCCGCTCTAGATGTACACTGACTTATGGCTGGCAGTGTGAACAGTTTATTGTGTGCTGTAAAGCACAAATGGGGGGGGGGGAGGGGGGCCTTCTCTGGGGGAATGGGTTATGCCAGGCCGCTCTGTTGAGGATCATCCTCGGCCCTCGCACTCTTGGCTTTGATCTGAAGAGATCCACATCTGCTGGGGCATTAGTCACAGCCCCCAACCTCGTGACCTGCCTTCCGCCAAGACTCAGGCAGCCATCTATCCCTCTTCGTCTGTCTCTCTTACTCTCTCCCTCATATAATAATAAAATATTACGAGCTGCTCTGTCTCTATGGCTCTCTCTCTGTCTCTGCTCTGTGGCTCTCAAAAATGTTTAATTAATTAAATTTTCAATTCCGAACGTCTTGCCGCCCCCCCCCCCTAGACCGTACTGTGTGTGCGTGTATTTTCCCCCCACTGAATTTTCCTTCGACAAAAACAAATTCTGAAGTGTGCGCGCATTCAACTTTCTTTCAACTCATTTAATTTAATTTGCGGCGCCTCCGCTGACGCTGACGCTGACGTTGCTGCCACACAGTGCTCGTTGCCGGCTCTTCTTCTTGCCAATTACTCATCGTGTGCCCCCCCCCTCCCCCCATTCACATAATAATTTATTTAATTAACTTTTCCGCTGGCTACAAAATTTTCTATAAAAATTTATTGATTTTTTTTTTCCTTTTTTGTTTTTTTTTTTTTTGTGTTGCTTCTTGAGAAAACGAAAAAGGAATATATTTGTGGAGTTGGTTTTTTCAATATTTTTGTATATATAGGAAAAACCATCCAAACCCAGCCCCAACCCCCGGGCCCCCCGCCCCAACCGCCACTCATGCATTCTCATTCGTACGGGAATATCTGTGGATTACATATAGAATTCTATAACTTTTTCTCTGCTTGTCTGTGTGTGTGTGTGTGTGTGTGTCTGTTGGCAATAAAATATAAATTTATTATACGCGCCCGCCCCGCCCTGCCGCCCAACCGCCCAACAGCCACCCACCCCCACACACTCTTTTTGCCATCAATCGAAATGCATGGAAAGGAATACCCCCCACTCCACCCCCCCACCCCTTACCTTTTCAACAGCCTTCAAGTTTTCACTACCCCCCCCAACCACTCCCCCCCCCCCCCCCCCCCCACTCCTACTACTGTTCTGTAATACCCCTTTGGATTCTAATGCAATTTTAATTTTATTTTTCAAGCGCGCACATAAACTCAGCACTCGATTCCCCCCCCCCTCACTGCCCCCGCACCACGGCCAGCCACTCCCCTTGCTACAGAGAGAGAAAACAGGGGGATGCCCCCCCTTTATGGATTATCAGTACCAAAAAAATACCACAAAAATACTCCATTTTTCTTAGGAAAATGCATTAATTTCTTGGTCCGGAAACAGAACTCCTTTTCGTTTGAGGCCCTTATTTCTCCAAGTGTAAGATATACCACTAAAAACTAGATGGATGGGCGGGGGTGTCGAGACCTTTATCCCAACCCAATTGCCCCTCCCCCTCGCCCTCGCCCTCCCCCCGTCCGACCATCGCGCGTATTCCTTAACCGAACTTTTGCTGTAGTTTTCCCTTTCCTTTTTTCCTCCATTTCTATTACCGCTGCTGCTGCTGCCGCTGCCTCTGCTGCTGCCTGTATATTTCTTATATTATATAACACTTTATTTATTATTCATTTTCGATTCGTGTTTTACCGTGGTGGCAGCAGCGGCAGCAGTGGCAGCGTCGGTGGCAGCGTCGGCGGCGGTGTCTCAAGTTTGTTATTTCTCTTGTCTGCAAGTTGCTTTGCTTGCCACAGAGCCGCCATGCCGTGCCGTGCCACCCACTCACGCGCCAACATCCCCCTGTTGGCACCACCCCCGCCCCCGCCCCAAGGACCTTGCCATTTCCGGGGCTACTTTTGCCTCTGCTGCTGCTGCTTCTGGCTGATGGGCGCCTGTTCCCTTTTAGCCTTCACTATTACTACTGCCTCCAGTAGTTTCTCTCTCTCTAGAGCTCTCAGTTGCTCTCGGACGAGAGAGAGTGTCGAGAGTGTTCTCTCTCTCTCTCTCAGTCGCTCCTTGTGGCATCTTTGCTGCTGCTGCTGCTGCTCTCTGCTCATTCATTCATTCATTTATTTGTGCGAGTATTTCTCGGCCACCAAACCACACGCATGCCACGCCACCCCCCTCTCTCTGCCCCCTCTCTCTGCCCCTCTCTCTCTCTGTTTCTGCAACTACTAGCTCCTGCTTCTGCGATTCCTGTTACGCCGCAAGACGACGGCCGCACCTTCGCTCGTTTTTAGTGCCCCCCCCCCATGCCCCATGCCCCATGCCCCATGCCTCGTGCCATTCATTAATTTTATAAGACGCTACAGAAATAATTCATTTGAAAGCGTACACCTCCCATGGGGCTACACGGCAGAGACATCGACATCGACATCGACATCCATTCGGAAGTTGCTTCAATCCACAATTATCGAGGACCCTCCCCACTGCAGCGGGGCCCGTGTATCTGTGGATCTGTACTGTATCTTTAGACCCATTTTCTTGCTGGCTTGGCACCGCGAATCGATTTGCATTTTTATAAATCCCCTTCGTACCGCTGGCTGGCAGGACACCCAAAAGTAGTAGCAGCTGCCTATCCTTTTTTTTGGGGGGTTGGGGGGCGCCACAAGACAGCAGCAGGCAGAAGAAGCAGCGGCAGCGGCAGCGGTGGCAGCAACTAAATATTTAATAGTATTTTATTGCACGAATTTCACATAAAATATGCATATTGGCCGAATGCATTATTCATGGGAATAATGTGAAAAACACATTTCGTAAAGCGAGTGCCACAAGGAAAGGTGCAGAAAGGAGTGCTGCGGACTGAGGGGTGGGGGGGGGGGGGGGGGGGGGGGGGGGGCGTAAGGTGTACACCCTTGCGGGGAAAACTCTCTCTCTCTAACTCTTCTTCTTGAGCAGTGGCTGTCTCTGTTTTCTATATATCGTTTCGCGTATTCGAATGCATATAATAATGAAATGCAAAACAACAAACAGGGCGGCCATAAACAATTGCTGTGTGGCAGGAGGGGCAAGAGAGTCCAAGGCATTGCAGGGAGGCGTCGGGAAATAGTTGCAACAACACAAAAACAATACAACAACAACAACAACATATGCCACAAATAATTGTAGCAATCATAAAGCCAAGTGCGAGTGCATGAAGCTCGCTCTCTCTGCCGCATGCCTCTTGGTTTCGCTGCCGCGGGGAAGGGGGAGGGGGGAAAGTTTAGCTTACAAAAAGAAATGGGGAGCGTAGCTCAGCCCTAGATACCCTGAAATAATAGATTGTGCACAAAATACCACCCAAAATAC